CGGCCTCGCTTTCCTCTTGCCCAAAGCGCCTCTGCCCCGCCCATCCCCAGTCCTCCCGCGGTCTCGGGACGGTGGCTGCCGGCTCCCAAGGGTCGGGCTCCGCCCGCCCGCCAGGGGCCCGGCTGCGGGACGCGGCCACCTCGGGCCACTCCCGCCAGTCCCCGTTGCCCCCTCCGCCACGCCCAGGCAGCCGACCCCGACCCGGGACCCGGGGCGCAAGATGGCGACAGCCGCGTGACCCAGCCGGTGAGCGCCCCCAAACCCGGCTGCGCCGATGACTTTGGGGGTGGAGACGCGGCGAGGGCTGAACTCTGACGTCTCGGTCCCTGTGCCGCTCTCGGGCCAACCTGCGAGGTTGAGCGTTGTGCCGGAGCGTCGCGAGCCACGGCAGTGATTCTGCTGGAAGACGGTGCCGCGGCATGGACGTGAACCCCCAGAGAGCTCTGTTGGTCTGGGGGATACCAGTGAACCGTGCCGAGGCTGAAATTGAAGAGACCATTCAGGCCGGGATGCCCCACGTGCCCCATCGGGCTCTTGGAAGAATGTTCTGGAGGGAGGAGAATGCGAAAGCAGCCCTGATAGAGCTCACTGGCGCTGTCGATTATGCCTTGATCCCTAGGGAGATGCCAGGCAAAGGCGGGGTCTGGAAGGTGGCCTTTAAGCCCCCCACTTCCGATGCTGAGTTCTTGGAGCGGCTGCATCTCTTCATCGCTAGAGAGGGCTGGACCGTGCAAGATGTTGCCCGTGTTCTGGGGTTGCAGAACCCTGCTCCGGCCCCAGGCCCAGAATTGCCAGCAGAGATGCTCAGCTACGTTTTGGATACTGTTCTCCAGCCTCTCCTTGAGTCTGTCTGGTACAAGAAGCTGACACTGTTCTCGGGAAGGGACATCCCGGGGCTGGGAGAGGAGACCTTTGAACCCTGGATGGAGCACACCAGCGAGGTTGTGCGGGACTGGCAGGTGCCCGACGCGGAGAAGAGGCGCCGGCTGATGGAGAGCCTGAGGGGCCCCGCCGCGGACGTCATTCGCATCCTGAAGACCCGCAACCCAGCCATCAGCACCGCTGAGTGCCTCAAGGCCCTTGAGCAGGTGTTTGGGAGTATGGAGAGCTCCAGGGACGCGCAGGTCAGGTTTCTGAACACTTACCAGAACCCAGGAGAAAAGTTGTCTGCTTATGTCATCCGCCTGGAGCCGCTGCTGCAGAGAGTGGTGGAGAAAGGGGGCATTGATAAAGACAAGGTGAACCAGGCCCGCCTAGAGCAGGTCGTTGCAGGGGCCACCCACAGCGTAGCCCTCCGCAGGCAGTTGTGGCTGGCGGGGGCTGCAGAAGGGCCGGCCCCTAACCTCTTCCAGTTGTTGGTGCGAATCCGGGAGGAGGAGGCCAAGGAGGTGGAGGAGTAGGCCGAGGCCTGGCTCTTACAGTTAGGCGTGGAAGGGCCTTTCTGAGGCCCAGCAGAAGGGACTTCAGTTCCGACTTGGATCACGTAGCTGCTTTCCTTGTCCCTGTGGGTCTTGAAGGAGTGCCCCTGAGCAGGAAAGACTCCTTTGTTCCTTTTTTAGTTTGGTTTGTTTTGGGGGGCTGGGGTATCAGGTCGGCATAGTTATTAGCTTTTGGAAAATTGTACAAACAAGCAGCAGGAGCTGGCGCAATACAAATGGAGCAGGAAGGTAGAAATGCCACAGAAAGGTTTGGACACTGTGTTGGGTGCTAGCCGCTGTCGTGGTGTCATCATCAGTGGCAAAAAAATGTGACTCGGATGAGTCCCATCCTGATCATTCAGTGTGAAGCTGCATGTCCAGATGGTCAGTGCACGCCTGACTTACAGGAAGTGTTCGATAAAAATGTGAACTAGTTGTATTTGTTACTAATGATGTGAATAGTTTGTGTTATTGTAAATTGCTCTGGTTTATATTACTGGAAAGAAATATGGAATTACTAAATAATATTGCTCACCTTTACAAGGCACTTATTATTCCTCATCTTTCAGCATCTGGGTCAGTTTAGTTGGAAAGGATTCTGAGACTTCAAAATGAGCTGTATCTTAGTTACTTTTCTTTTGTTGCTGGTACAAATACCTGACACTAGAAATGAAGGAGGGAAAGGTTTATTTAACTGACATAAACCTTTCAGTAACTGAAACCTCACAGTTACTAGAGGTTTCATAGTGTAAAATACCCTGAATTATGTAGCAAGACCTCGGAGCCTTATTTGCTCAGGAGACAGGGTCAGTGCCTCCGTCTTTACCAAACATCTCCTCTCTGCCCAACGTGGCCTCAGTCGCAGACCTGCTGCCCAGCACTACAGGGTCCAGAGGGCACTGTTGCATTCAACATGACCCTCTCCACACCTCCAAGAGAGGGCACTGGCCTGGGGAAGCATGGTGGCCAGTTTAATGGTTAGCACCTCTCTGGCTCCACCCCTCGAACCCTGCCCTGGTCCTCTAGCCACCAGCTGCTTTTTAGGCCAGGTCTGCCCCATGACTTAGATGAGGCTTTGATAGGACAACTAGATACAAACCCTAACAAGCTGTTTCAAAATACTGTACGTATAGTGCTATGTAAATCAGTTTTCCACTGTGTACGATACAGTTACCAATCAAATGGACAAGTTGATATGAATGAGATGCCCTGCTTTGACTCTTAGGCATAATTGCTCATGCTGATTCTGTGTTCTGACTTCAGAGTTATTTAGTAGATGTTTTCAGCCTCCCCAGCATTGGGATTACAGGGTGGTCCGCCATCATGCCCTCAGTGTGCCTGGGGGCGGGGCCAGAGGGGCATGTGGTGCCAGCGAGCAATCCCCAGGGCCTTGCACTTGCCTAAGCAGGTGCTTGGTCCACTGAGCACTCAGAGCACTGTTGCATTCAGTGTGACCCCCTCATACCTCCAAGCACCTTGCCCTGAATATTTGTTTCACAGAAGGAGTTATATACCAAGAAAACACCAAAATGGAAACACTTTAAAGTATATTTAGTTGTAGAGATTCGGTGACTACAGCTGTCTACCCTTGAGGGCCTCCGCAGCAAAAAACAGAATTGTGGGAATGTTACATCTTTTGTGGGGTTTACCCTGCCAGTTTCTTATTTTTTATTTTTATTTTTTCATTTTAGTACAGGATCTACACAGTCTCACTATGTAGATCGGACTTGTAGTGATTCTCCTGTTTTCAGCCTCCCAAGAGCTACCTTGACAGTTTTAAAATTGTAGCTGCCTCATGCAACAGTCATACTGTACAATCTATAAAGGCTAATATTGGTTTGTTGTTTTTATTTATTATTTTTGTGGCCAGCACAGCCTGTCCTGGAGGTGGGGCTGGCGCAGCATGTGGTGCTGGAGATGGAACAGCAGTCCCTGCACTTGCCTAAGCAGATGCTTTAGACCACTGAGCTATCTCGCTGGCCCTGTTTTTTTTTTTATTATTAATTTTATTGAGAAATACCAATGAGACAGTTTCAAAACAGGTTAGTAGGGCAGTTACAATAATACATTGCATATTGTTGTCTTCGTAGTAGTTATTCAGAGTACAAGATGCAAATATGATATCTTGTCTAAACACTGTTAATATAAATCTTCTCACTGAACAGAGGAAGTAGCTGTATATCTATCCTATTTTGTGTATACAGATTGGCCCTGTTTTTTTAAAATATGGAATGCCTCATGAGTGTGCCTGTGACCCTTGCACAGAGGCCATGTTACTCACTGGATTGTTCCAATTTTAGTGTATGTTCTGCCGAAGCTAGCACTTTGTCTTTTTGAGACAGGGCTCCGCTATGCAGTTCAGGCTGGCCTTGAGCTCACTCTGTAGCCCACACCAGTCTCAAACTCTCAACCATCCTTTTGCTTCAGCCTTCCAAGTGCCGGGATTACAGGCGCGTACCACCATACCTGGCTTAAAGGCTACTACTGGTATGTGTTTTTCCAGATTTCACTACGCTCATGCCTTCCCTTCCCATGTCATGGTGGTCCTCTTCCATCTCCCCTCATAAGCTCCATATTCTTGCCTCCCTCTTTCCTCAGTAAACATGAACATGTTGTCCCTCGGACACTTGCCATCCCCTTGCCCCCGGCCATTAGACTCCAGAGTTCCTGCTGCTTCGGTCGGACCCACTGGCATCAGGTACCCCCTCCCCATAATACTGGGGATCGAGCCCAAGGCTTCATATGTGCTATGCAAATGCCTTGCTGCTGAGCTCCAGCCGCAGTCCTAAACCATTTATTTTATAGCTGCAGCATGGACCGCATCTGAGGAAGAACAGTCTTACTGCCTGCTTACATATAACAACTGTGTATGTGTATGCTCACGTATATGTAACACAGTACATACACACAACATAAAACTGTGTTAGGATTCTAGACCCCCATCCTTTGTTCTAAGAAATAATAAACTAAAAATAACTGAGCCATTTATCATCTGGATTAGGGCTTTCCGTTACAGGCTCAGAATTAAAATTTTTCTGCTTTTAAGGAAGGCTAGCAGCAAACAAGGTATCTTCATAGCTACTTGTGGGATCAGAAGTAGAAGCTGCATTCAGGCCTACTGTGATGAAAATTACATTCTGGCTGGTAGCATAGAGTGTGTGCTGGCAAAGGGTGAGGTCCCCGACATTGCTGCGTGACTCGTTTGCAGCGCTAGGGCCTGTCAGCCAACATTTACCTTGTGCGTTCAAAGTAAGCTGAAGAAGTGAACTGCTGTCCCTAAAGACACTAATTTGATAGGGTAGAAAACTAAAAACTTGGGCAAAGATGCTGTCACTAGTAATAAACTACTAAAAAAAGTTTAGAAGATGACCCAAGTAGGAAAACCAGGAATTCCTGACTCTGCTTACTTTGAAATTACAGCATCTTTTTTTCTTTTTCTCTTCTTTCCTTTTTGGGCGCCAGGTATTGAACTCAGGACCTCATGCTTACCAGGCAGGGGCTTGTGTGCTGAGCTGTCTCTCTGGCCCTGGCAGCTTGCTTTCATAAGCTCTCACATGCGTGTGCATTCTCCCTCTCCTTGGCCCGCTCCCTCTCCATCATCTTAAGGCTGATTTCTTTGGAATAGTATTAGAAGTTCCCCTTCACACCGGAGAGAAACCCTATGTATGTAGGCAGTGTGGGAAAGCTTTCAGCCAACACAGTTACTGTCAAGTTCACAAAAGGACTCATAGTGGAGAGAAACCATATGTATGTTAGCAATGCAGGAAAGCTTTCACTAGAAAAGCAAGTTGGCGAACACATGAAAGGAACACACGAGATGAACACTGGGGAGAAACCCTATGTATGTAAGCAGTGCAGGAAAGCTTTTGACAGACTGTCAGACTCATGTACAAGCTCACACTGGGGAGAAACCATGTCTGTAAGCAATGTGGGAAAGCTTTCAGCAGACACAGAGATTGTCAGTCACATGTATGAACTCACACTGGGGAGAAGCCTTCTGTATGTAAGCAATATGGGAAAGCTTTTAGCACCCATGATAGTTGTTGTACACATAAAAGAAGTCACACTGGAGAGAAACCCTATGTATGCAAACAATGTGGGGAAGCTTTCAGAATACACAAGACATGGCAAAGACATGAAGGGCTCCCATTGAGGAGAAACGCTATGTTTGTAGGCAATGTGGAAAAGCCTTAAAAACAAAGATTGTAAGTCACATGTATAGACTCACACTGGGGAGAAACCCTATGTATGTAAGTAATGTGGAAAAGCTTTAATACCTGTGATAATTGTAGAGTACATGAAAGAATTTACACTGGGGAGAAACTATGAATGTAAGCAATGTGGGAAAGCCTTTGTCAGAAACAGATTGTGAATCACATGTGTGGACTCACACTGGGAGAAACCCTATGTATGTAAGCAGAAAGTGAGAAAGCTTTCCATATTTATCATAATTGTCAAATTCATGAAAGCGTTCACACTGGGGAGAAACCTTATGCATGTACACACCATGGCAAAGCTTTCACCACAAGTGGTTTTTGTCAAAATCACCAACAGACTCACACTGGGGAGAAACCCTATATATGTATCTGATGTGGGAAAGCTTTTAGCATATATGGTAGTTGTCAAACACATGAAAGAAATCACACACACAAAAAAGTTGCCTGAGTCACTCTTTATCACCTAAGACTAATGATCATGTAACAAGAAGACACAAATGTCCTTTTCTTACAAAATAACACAATTTATTACTATTTTAAAACAGGTCTCACAAAATAACATTCAGCAACTCAATATTTCTAAATAATTTAACACAATAACTTTAGTCATAAAGTCATGCTACAAAATTCCTGTGTATAAAAGATTATTACCAAAGTATTAATAGATGTTAAAATGCTCTTTGGAATGGAATTGGTTCTAAAAGCAAAGATCCTGGAATGGAGCTCACGATCATAACTGACCATCCGGGAGAAGCGCCGGAGCTGCGAGCCTAGAGCCATCTATTCTCCGTGCAGGCGGGAGCACCTGGCAGGCGCGCGCTTCCTGCTGACAAAGGAGCACAGTGCTTCCAACCAACAGAACTTGGCAACAACTCAGCGCAGACAACATCTAAATTTGTTTTCAAAATTGGGGTGTGGGGAGGTAACGAAGTATGTGAGTAGGAGAATTACTTGGCACCTTCTCTGGAGGGATGATGTGGGTGCAGAAGATATGGAGACAACTCGAGTAGGCAAATCCAGGTATCCCCACTCTGCTTATGTCAACAGGCAGCAAGTACTTATGCTGCCTTAGAATAGTCTGGGGTGAGGTTTGATCCTCTAACATCTATGTGCAGGCTACACACTTATCCATCTGCTTTTTGGAAGTACTTTCCAAGAGCATCCAGTTCAGAATTTTAAAGTGCAAATCTACTGAAAAATAGTTTACTCTCCCCCAACACCCCTGGTTAAACTTGCTAGATCATAATTTGGTTGGCTGGTTCCCTCTACTCTACCCAATACGGGAAATAACCTAGAATCTGATTAGGACTTAAGTGTTAAGTATTAAGCTTATTTTAGGTCAGAAGAAGAGTCTTAGTTTTTCCTTTCAGTTTTGTTCTTTTACAGTCATTGATGAATAAAAGGTAGGAATAGATATATTGATGTGGTATTTCTAAAAGCTCAGTGATTTGAAAATGAAACTCCTAATTGCTTTAAGTTTCACCTATTTTATAGTTTTTAAAAAAGGGAAAGAGTATGACATGCTAAAGTAAAAAGAGAGGAATACAGTCAAGTTAGCTGTGTTAGAAACACCAACTCTGCTACACTGAGTCTTGTTCATTTACAGACACATAAAGAGGCCCAAGTAGAGAGAACTGTGCCAAAGGAATGAACTTCTGGTAGCGGATAACTTGCAGGTTCATGGTTTCCTCCCTTCACCAGTACTTATGATGTCTAAGGTCTTAGTAAACTAAAGATCCAACAGCACTCTGAGAGACACTGACTACTCATGACAGATGTTGACACTTCCGACAGCTGTCTTGTTGGGCTGGCCTCTGCTCTTCCATCAGCCCTTAGAAAAATCCAGAGGGAAGATACCAACTCTGAGAAAATGTCAACAGTCACCATTCAATTCCATTCCTCCTTATTCTGTTTTCAACTTACTGGCAAAAAGTGTCAAAAGCACCCATTCAAGTAAAAAATTCCACACAGGAGCCACACTTACGTGCCGGGTTCTGTCTTCATCCACAGAATGGATTCCGTAAGCACTCCAAGTTACTGACCAGTTATAATAAGCAGGCATCATTCTGATCACACTCAGAATCAACGTCTGCGTCAGCTAACTTTTACACATGATACATTTTAGAGTATTTTTCTGTATTTAATGACTGTCTCAGTCTGCAAAAGTTTGCATATTAGGTAATGAAGCTGATCCATTTTCTGAAGTACATTTAAAATATCAAATTTTAGAGACAAAGCAAAATCTACCACAAGGTTGAATTCTGTTGGCAGTAACAGGGAG